TGAGATTTATTTTTATTTTTTATTATTTATTTATCATTATTAATTACTTATCATTATTTATTTATTATTTATTTATTATTATTTCTTATTATTAATTATTAACTAATTATTATTAATTATTTTATTTTTTTCGATAATGAAAAAGGATGTGGGACAGTTTCAGCGCTACGCGCCGCTTGTATAATACGTTGCTATGTATAAAGCGTTCTTCTGAACGCTTCGTCACGCGCCTAGTAACCAAATAACAGGGGGCTGTACCGCCACAGGTCTCTTCTCGCCGCGCGCTTAGACTCGCACGAATTGGCTGATCTTATATAATTAATTAAATTATTAAAAAATATCGGTCAATCCGCGCGAGTTTAAGAGCGCGGCGAGAAGAGACCCGTGGTGATACAGCCCACTGTTATTTGGTTACTAGGCGCGCGATAAATCGTTGGGAGGAGCGCTCTATGAATGACAACGGCACATACGAGCGGTGTGTAACGCTAGATCCTTGCGTCCTAGCGACCACGTAACAACGGGCTGTCTTTTCTCGTCGCGCGCTTAGACTCGCGCAAATTGGCCGATCTTCTTTAATTAATTTCTCATTAATTATTGCAATTTGCAATAATCGCAAAACGATAGAGGACTTTTCTACTCGGTTTAACCCGCTCTACCTGCACCCGAGAGGTGATTCAGCAATTATCGGACACCCTGTATATATATATCCATGGATCATATTAAAAATTATACATTAAAAGAAGATTAGTATCACGTATTTATTTTAGGAGCAACATAAAAATACTTTGTGAAGCCATGAGTATTGAAGTAGTGCATCAATGTAAGAGTTATGTCAATTTAGAAGCATTACTAGAAGGCGATGCAAAAAATGGGATAAACACACTTCTGAAATGCATTTCATTTTGTCAAACATACAAAACGGCATATGATAAAGTATCCCAACTTAAGAAGTAATTTATGTATGTTACTGGCAAATTTTATCAAGCTTTCATAAATGTTAAGTATAATCTTAAATTATTAGAATCTTAAAAAAAGAGTACTATTATGTCCTGATTCATGAAATATAAATGAATCGTAACACGCATGCCTCACAGGTCAAAAAAAAAAAAATTATATAGATAATGTACTATGCTATGTAATATACTAAATAAACATACATGAACATATGATAATTAGCTTAACTTATCATAAATAATTAGAACAATTAAAAGCTGTATGTATTATATATACGAATGTGTAAGTGTTTTACAATTTTCATGGTCGTGTGAACTATTAATCTATTCTTCGGTGGGATAGTAAAAGTTTATGTGGTTTTCATATTTAGAGGGTAGTGATGATGGAGGAGGAGACCGTAGATTGGGAGAGTTGACCAAGTGGATGCTGCGCAGAAATCTGGATTTAAAAGATCATCGGGCGGGTGAACGGCGGGAGTAATTATGACTCTCTTTATCGCTCTCTAACAATAAAAGATGGTGGACTAAGCATTCCCGCAGTAAAATGGATAGTACCCGCCCAGTGTAGAGAAAGGCTAATCGCGATGGCACAAAAGATGGCCCGAAATGAATTTGAGAAGTTCGTCAACGATGAACTAGCGGTCTGTACAAAGCGCCTTACGGACCAGAGGTACGCCACTCGTAATGACATCAACAGAAGATGGGCGGAGAGACTATATCGGTCTATAGATGATGGGGCACTTAGAGATTCAGTCAATACCCCCCACAAACATCAGTGGGTACAGTTGTCAGGAAGCTGACGGGAACAGTTGTCAGGAAGAGACTTGTCAACTGTGGCCGCATGAAGATAGAAGTAATGCCAACGAGGTTCCGCACCACTAAAGGGAGAGTTGGTGACAGAAGATGCCATACCGTGTGTTTGGCTTAGGTAACATTGAATCACATGCTACAACACTGTCACAGGACCAATGGCGCTCGAATTAACAGGCACAACGCAATAGTGGCATATATAGCACGAAAAATGCCGCAAAAAGGATTCCGAGTGTTAGAGGAACCCTGATATAACACTACTGAAGGACTTAGAAAGCCGGACCTGGTGACGGTGATAGGCCAAACAGCGATAGTAGTAAATGCTCAAGTTGTTAGTGAACAGATGGACTTGGACAAGGCTCACAACAGGAAGACCGAGTACTACGGCAACCCAATAGTGGTGGAGGCCATCAGGCAGACCTATGACGGACGGTGCTAACGATGTCAACTACGCTGTCATGGAGAGGCATATAGAGTCCCGAATTGGCGAGAGGTCTTCGCGGAATAGGACTTCTGACGGCTTGAAAATTGTGGCGACTCAAGTCCTAATAGGAGACATTGCAGCATTCCGGATGTTCAACACTACACAACCACGCGTTCTCGCAGAGGAATAGTCTTCTATATCCCCCCACCCCTTCCAGTCCCCTCCCTTGGTGCTGCTTGCCTTATAGGCACAATGAACTGATCCCTCTAGGTTGTAAGAGTGTATTATAGATAGCCTGCACATTAGATCAAATTGTATAAGGTGTACATAATTGCAATAAACAGTGGTTGAGATGATTAATTTTTAGCCAAATGCCTTGTCATCTAATTAGTGACGCACATGAATGGATTAACGAGTTTCCCACTGTCCCTATCTACTATCTAGCGAAACCACTGCCAAGGGAACGGGATTGGAGAAATTAATGGGGAAAGAAGACCCTGTTGAGCTTAACTCTAGTCTAGCACTGTAAAGAGGCATGAGAGGTGTAGCATAAATAGAAGATGGCAACGTCACCGATGAAATACCACTACTTTCATCGTTTCCTTACTTACTCGATTGGGCGGAGCGCGTGCCCCAGGACTTTGCCCCGGCGGTCACGGTATTCTAGAGCCAAGCGTGTCAGAATGGCGTGAGGCCTCGGCCGATCGCCGTTAATATTCCCGCGTGATCCGATTTGAGAACACTGCCAGGTGAGGAGTTCGCGAGACCGATCAATCAATTGATTGATTCCGGTAGAGACTCTATCGGAGAAGGAGGCCTGAAGATCAGAAGTTCAAGAGAATCAGAAATTTGAATAATTTCTTCCATAAATTGGACGAAGGGGGCAGGAAACGGGAAGCGAAATCTTTGTGATGGCGATGGCGGGAATTCTATGTCGTTTCTTTTAATGTGTGTGTGAGTAGTGCGCAACAGCAGAGCTGTGTTTAAATACCGCAAATGATGACGTTGAGTAAAGTTTAGCCGGTAGCGAAAATAGGAGGACGAATCCACGAGATTAAATAAATGTGAAGATCCCGGCGAGAGATCCAACGACTCCGACAAAATACAAAAGAATTTGAAACTGAGTTAGTTCTCACTAAAAGAGCAAGATTTTTGAATCGGGTCTGGGGGAAATAAAATACAAACAAAAACAACTTATGACTTACTACGATAAAAAACGACCTACTACTTGTTAAAGCTATGCGGAGTGTTGATGACAGAGAGAAAGAACTCGCTGGGTTTGATGTTGACGACCCGAGATAAAGACCCTAAAGATCTGTTATAATTTACGGTTTTGTGTATGAAAGAATGCACACTAAATGTTCGTTAAATTATAACCTTTTTATTCTATAAGAAAAAGACTTCTTACTTAACGGCGTGTTACAAAAGAAGAAGTAAAAAAACCATTTTTTATAGTTTTGGAACTGATAAAGATTAGGAAGACATATAAAAATTACACTTTGATGTAGACAAGTTTCAATCTAGGGCGCACACGAAACAGGTTATGTCAACTGCTTGTCACATGTCAATGTTACGTTCACTTTGCGATTTGTGTTCATAATGCTGTTAACAGTATTAGGAACAATATAAAAAAAATAAACGCATTACTGACATTAATAATTACATTATAAAAATTGATAATTTATTTAATATTTTGCTTTTTTTGCTCAATTTTAATGCTATATTATTTTAAATAAGACTTATAGTTGAAATTTCGCCTATAATCACTCATTTTTGTAAGTACCTTTTATCTACTTTCTTAGTAGTAATGGACGCAATCCGGAAAAAAGGTGTATTTCTCAAACTTCAATTTTTTTTTAAATTAGTATTTGACTTTAATTTTTATTTATTTATTCTAACAACAATTATATTTGTTAAAAATTTTATTGAAATTTGTTAAAACAATATAACATATAGTTTTCATATTTAAAAAATTGTTTAAATTTTGATTGTCGGTAATGAGGACACTGTCAGTAATGGTCAGTATGGTCTTTCACCCTACATTTTTTAATATACATATATTTACTTCCGATATTAAATTTTTATAAATAGTGTGTAATTGCAAGTAAAATTTTTTCAGAAAACTGTCTTATTTTTTAAAATAGAATAATTTAAACAATACTAATAATTTGCAGTTCTACTCCGCACATGTTTAGAGGCTAGTAGTATTCTACACTCCCGTATAACGCGTGTGCTTAGCGAGTAACCGTAATGAAAGAGTTAATAAAAAATATAATTTGATGAAATTTGATAAAATTGGCCGTAACTCATATAATATCTGATTATTATTCGTTCCTTCAAAAAAATAAATTGCAGGTGACAAGTATAATTGTTTACATTAAATCAGATAGAGATTGGAAAGTGAACAAACAAACAATATTTAATCGTATCGATACTTTCATGCAAAGATGTTACGATGCTATGGAGATATGCAACGCTTTAATGGTCTTTGGAAGGTAAGATAAAATAAAGTATTTTGCGTGTTGTTTTAACAACAACAAAGACGTTATCTAAGAGTTTTAAATAATATCCTCAATTTTAATTATATTGTCACGTTTACCAGTTCGATTTATATCGAAGCGCGTAACACAACCGTTTACTCACACTTTTACTCCGAAATAAGAGACACTTTTAAAAATAACTATAACTTTAATGTAATTCAACGAATATAAAACTCAGAACAAGAATAATTACAGTAATAATAGCCGTCGTATAAACACGTCTCAACGAAACGACAGCTGTCGCGAGACTCTCCTGTCGTTGTTATCAACAATAACATGACAACGAGACGTTTGATGTTTTTTTAATAAATTTCCATGCTGACTCGATGAACGATTGGGAACACCGTAGGGACGTAACAATATTGTTGCACTCGCGACGATCACTCGCGAATGCGCTCGCGCAAGAAATATACTCAATTCAAGAACAAAGAACTTTAATGAACTCAACGGCAACACAATTAGAAACGAAACAACAGAACTATCTTGTACAATTCAGAAAACTGTCTCACGCTCGAAACGCGTCCTCACGGCACCGAGGACCAAGCGTAACTCTCTCTTGCTACTTTATTTACAAATTACTAAGCGACGCTTCTCAACATTAGTTTATTTACAAATTACTAAGCGACGCTTCTCAATGCCAACTCGCAGTCCACACGTCACAATCGACGATCTCCCGCGGCGCGAGCGCAACACTATATATAACTTTATTACTTCAGCTTCTTTTACCAAGAAGAGGACTTGGTTTACACTTTAATCTTATCACATTCATTTATTTCCACACTTTTATTCAATAGTATTTTACCTATCCGTATCCACTATATTAGTGCTAGACACGGATTTGCTCATTTCAGTCGATTTCTGTAAGGTAACTTTATCAAAAAAGAACGTAGAAAAATTTTTTAAATATGGATTTATTAGGAAATAAATTTATTAGGAAATAAATTTATTAGGAAATAAATTTATTAGGAAATAAAAAAGCTTAAAAACGCATACATTTTTGTTCTCGACAGTCGATTCCTTTGAGCAATGCAATAGTTTTAAAAAAATTTTTTTTTCCCATTTCTAAAAGTCTATCTTTAACATCTGTTTTGTAAAACATTTTGTGTAACTCAATTTTGGTTTTTATGGTTATTAAGAAGAATGTTCAAGCTTCAATTTGCAATTTTTTTTTATCCCAATACGATGATTTTTTGTTGAGTTATCGCTATTCAAAGATGTTAAAAAATTATGCTAAAGGTGGCCCGTTTTTTTTTGCGGGTGAGTGTATTTCACGCGGCTAGAACGGCTGAGATGTATGGTCTAGGCGTAAGAGCGACGAGTGTCACACGATAACAAAAAGTTAGCTCACTTGGCGAGGAGATAAGGATAACACGCGAGCAGCGCGCGGGCAGAAGCTTTATTTTTCATTGCCGTACGACACTCGCCACTGGCATGCCTAAAGCATACATCTCATAATTTAGCGCAAAACGTGCATTTATTCGCCAATTCTTTTCAATTAATTTTTTCGTAATTATTGCGAAGATTGCAAAAGGATAAAAGACTTTTCGGGTCGGTTTACTGTGCTCTACAAGCGTTATTGTGATAATTATCAGAGACATCTTATACAACTGATAAATATAAATAATTTAATATATAAACATAACGTAAATATTGATTCAAAAACAATTTCCTTAGATGTAACAAAGCAGGAATGATCGGTGGTACAAAGGGTTCCATATATGAGACCTATTGTCACCGAATAGAGAATTTATTTTACAAGAATCTCGACGAAATCAAACTGGTTCGCAACAACATTCTAGACATTGCAAAATGCACGTGGCTAAAAAATATGCAAACATTTAGAGATTCCATGGCAGAATTGGAAAACATGGTCAACAACCTGATTGAATGCATATTCAAAGAAGTTAAAAACATTGAAGAAGGTATCGAAGCTATATACACTTTACAACGTTTCAAACACAGAGAAACCTTGCGTGATACACTATCAATGAAATGGATTCAGGTGAGAAAAAAATTTGTAGTAAGAACAAAAATGTAAAACTTTTTTTATTATGCAATTATTTTTCTCGTGTTACCATAAAATATATATATAACTTTGTTATTTCAGCTTTTTTTGCCAAGAAGAAAACTCATACTTTTGCCTTATCATATGCATTCATCCATACCTTAAATCTATAATATTTTACATATTTATCTCTCCTATAGCATGTATCTTTATCATTTCATACTCGCATATCTTTTAAAGTCTCTTAATAATCTATTTCTTATCTTTATATTTATCCTGCACTTTCGGATAAACTTTCGACAAGTTATCACCTCTGATTTGGTTGATTTTCAGCTTAAATACTTATTTTATCTAGCAAATAATATTCTCAAATTTATTTTTGGATTTTTGGCGCAGATACCTTCTCCGCTCCCCAACCCCACACAAAGGTAAAACCGTTTTTGTTAATTATTTCAGAAAGTATTTATTGTACGGAAAAAGTTGTCAAACAAAAAATGAAGCTTATAAAAAGCTCTACAAATAAGGTTCTATACATATTTTACCTAACTTCAATATTTTAATCGTTATTATCAGAAATCTGGAGGCAGTATGTTCCGCACCCATGTGGGAGGCTCCACCATCAAAAAACTATACACATAGGGTTTGGATTGAATCTCGCTTTGCGTAGAAATTCGTAAATCCATGTGCAACCTCGTTTCGCATGGAAAGTATATGCGTGCAGGCAGTGTGTTCCGCCCCCTTGCGGGGAACTCTATCATCAGAAAACTATACACATAGGGTCTGGATTGAATCTCGCTTTGCGTAGAAAGTCGTAAATCCATGTGGAACCTCGCTTCGCGTTGTAAAGTGTATGCGTAAATCCAGTGGGTACCACTCCTCCTACTGGGGCTTTTACAAATTTTTTGATAATATCAACTAAAATATTGGAGTTAGGTAAAATATGTATAGGACTATATTTGTAAAGCTTTTTATGAGCTTTATTTTTTGTTTGATAACTTTTTCCGTACAATAAATACTTTCTAAAATAATTAACAAAAACGGTTTTACTTTTGAGGGAGCTGGAAGACGGAGGGGGCATTTGCGCCAATCCATTTAGGAATATTATTTACTAGGTAAAATAAGTATTTAGGCTGAATATCAGCCAAATCGGAGATGATAACTTTTCGGAAGTCCATCCGCACTTTTATTTAATCTTTTTCATAATCCTAATATATACATTTATTTATTTATATTAGAATTTATACACTCTAAACATTTTTTTTAATCTTGCTAGTTTAAACTAATGTCACCATCGGATGTCCCCTTCTGAATCTTACAACTTTTATTTAAACGTTTTTCTCTAAAACGCTTTTCTAAAAAGATATTCTAATGGGTCTTTTATACATATATGGGTCTTCTATATGTATACAGGATGTCCCAGATTTACCAAATAACGGTTCAGGGTAGACTCCTGACGTTGTTCTAAGACGAAAGTTCTTTTGGCAAAATGTCGAGGGTGTCGTAATTTCGGCGTTATAAAGGGTAAAAGTTACCCAATCGATGCGCTGAATTTTCCCGCGCTCAGAGACATCGCACATCAAAGGAGCCCCGTGCATCGCGCAACGATTGACTCGATCGAACGCGTTCCTCGCGATTGTTCACGCATTCACTGTTTACTGTTCATTGTTTCACAGTACTTCACAGGAAGAATGGAGTCAGATCCGGAGACCTTGCCGGCCAGTGCACGGGCGCACTCCGCATACGATTTATCTATCCGCGTATCTCGCGTTTAACGCGACGCGTTTTCGCGCACGTGTGCGGCGAGGCTATCGTCGCATCACTTTTCGACACTTTTTTTTCGCGATTGACATTGACATTCATATGACAAAAAACGAGGGACCGATCGCTCACCAAATTGCACAAAATCACGACACGCGCGCGGAATTGTCAAGCACTAGCGTGAAACGCGGCGCGCTCCCGCGATAGAAAATCGATATGAGCGATGCGAGATATGACCTACCGCGTCTAACGTCAATACGGAGCAATCGATATAAGATACGACGTTCAGAAAACATGGAGTATACCGCAGCGGAATATTGTAATATGCTTATTATTTACGGCGAGTGCGGTCAGAACGTTTTCCATACCGCATGAGAGTACAACGCTCGTTTTCCGGAACGCAGACAAATTGTTTACGGCGTCATTCTGCTGTTGTACCGCGCGCGAGAAACGGGCCGTCTGATACCAGATAGACATCTCAATGTTGTCGTGGAACGCCGCGTTCGTACGGTGCACAACGAAGAGGTGATCTTGCGTACGGTGAACGACAATCCAGAAATGAGTGTACGCGAGGTGTCGCGAGGTCGCGATCTAGCGTAGTACTGTTCACCGCGTACTACGTGATAACAGATTTCACGCGTATTATTTTACGCAAGTACAACATCTGCTGCCAACTGATTACGCTGCGAGACGCTCTTCTTACGCAATGATCGTCGATTGTGGTCAAAGACGCAAAGTCAATTTGCAAAGGTCTAATTTCCAATGTTTCATGTTTCAGAAAAACAAATCCTTCCTACTTTGAAAAATATACATTAATGTTTTTGCGTGTCATGCTTAAATTTACAACAAAAAATTTGAGAATAAAATTAAAATTATTAGTTTTTTATATGGTATCACTAACCCATCCATGTTCTTGACAAAAGTTTATGGCCGCTGTGCTGATATGATCTTTGTGAAAATAATGGCAAGGATCAGATGCGTATAATTGCGGAATGAGTTCGTCCGTGATGCTTTTAGCGTCACGTTTCCATGCTTTAAACTTGGAGACTACGTTTCTGCACGTGGCTACTAAATCGTGAGATTTTGATCAACCCGGTTTCGCGCGTGAAATTTTATTCACTGACGAATCGCATTTCACGCGCGATGGTATGTTCAACGTGCGAAAGAAACATTTATGGTCAAACGAAAATCTTAAGGAATACAGGATTAGGAATTTTTATCGGTTCAGCGTAAATTTGTGAGCTGGTGTGCTAAACGACACGATCGTAAGTACACTCTCATCGGTCAAGCAAAGTTTAGAGAATTCACTTTTTCATCCTTTCAGATCGGTCCGTTCGAAATGCCCGCGCGACTGACGGGTCAGTCGTATGCGCAATTTTTACGAAACAATTTGCCGACACTGTTGGAAAACGTGGAACAACGCTGGAACAACGTAGACGTATGTTGTTCCAGCAGGAGCCCCATCGCATACATGTAGAGAGGCGCGTCTTACGTTAACAGAAAGGTTTGAAAACCAATGAATCCGCGGACATCCCGTGCATTGGCCAGCGAGATCTCTGGACCTGACTCCGCTGGATTTTTTTTTTTGGAGTACAATTAAAGTTATGTATATTGTGAGCGCATCAACAGTCGCGACGAACTGAAGGACAAAATTGTTAAGGCGTTTGCGAACGTGACTCCGAAGATGATGAATAATGCACAGCGAAGTCTGCTGCGACGGGCAAGATTATGCGTCGAGTGCGGCAGTAGACAGTTCGAACATCTATTGTAAAATAGGTACGACAAACGTTACTTACTTTGGTTCGGTAAACGAGTGATATACGAGTCACTTTGTGTTTTCAGACTTGTGAAGCGAAATCTGTTATCACGCAGCACACGGTGGATAGTGCTACGCGAGATCGCGACCTCGCGACTCATTTCGCGTACACTCATTTCTGGAGCGTCATCCGCCGTACGTAAAATCGTCTCCTTGTTGTGCACCGTATGAGCGCGACGTTCCACGACGACATTGAGATGTCTATCTGGTATCCGTTTCTTGCGCGCGGTACAACAGTTGCAGAATGACGCCGTAAACAATTTGTCTGCGTTCCGGAAAACGAGTGTTCTCTCACGCGGCACGGAAAGCGTTCTGACCACACTCGCCATAAATAATAAGCAAATTGTAAAATATGTATAGGCGTATTGCCTAATGGATTGTGTTCGACTTGGTTGAAAGTTATGAAACCAATTTTTGTTAGAAAAATATATTTTATTTTTCTCGTCAGAGAATGAGAGTATATGTACAAGTTGTGTTTCAGTTAATTGATTGCGCCAGAGGCGCTTTCTCGGTAGAAGTGTAAGATCGAGAATTAAAAGAAAAATTGACGGGCGCGGTAAGAAATTACCGGCCGCGTCTTAGTATATTGAACGGGTCCTAAAAAGGACGGTTCAATTGAATCTGCTCGTTGTAGCCCCTTTCCCGGTGTCGGTGGAACTCCGTTCGGGAAGTGGTCTTCCGTCTGACAACTGCTCTCTGAGCAGGCTCTCGGTGGCAAAGTCTGTACGGCCACGGAACGAGTCTCTGGTGTGCTGGTAACTGCAACCGTCTCGGCTCTCGATATTACAGATTGCTCCGTGTATCGAGGAGAGAGAGGCCTCCGAATTCGGATGTCGCCTGGTATAAGAGTGTCCCTTGGTGGTCGAGTCAACCGGACGCAGAACTCTAGTGGAATTAATTTCCAAGCTAGAGACTGAGGAGGTGACGGCGAAACTGGAGTATCCGCGGGCCGCTTGGTTGAAATGTGCGGCCGATGCTGGGACTCTGTTTTCCTTTTACGTGCCTTGCGAGGCAGCGTGAGAAAAACTGCGAGACAATATGCCTCTGGTTAAATTCTGCTAAAGCAGAGTACGACTCAGATCAAGGGCCCTTGGAGAGAGCTCGCCTTGAAGCGAGTGAGTGAGGAAAGATCTGCGGAGCAGCTCTTTTATATCTCTTCGATCGAAGCTTGATCGCGAGAAAGCTCTTCATCGCCTGCGCAACCTGGCGGTAGGTCCGCAAGCTTATAACTGGTAGAAGGCCTGCGGCGCGTAGCGGCGTATTATGCCGTGTCAGTGCAGCGGTGTGGCGGTGAGCCGCCACAATATGTTAAATGTGTTATGTGTTATTGTTATTAAATTGTTTGAATTGTTTAAATGATCCACTCTTAAAAAAGGCATGAAAGATCGATACTCGAATGTATCGAAAGGATTGTTGACGCTTTTCCGCGACGCTGATTGGTTATCTCGATTATTCTGACAGTTTGATAGTTTGAGAGCGAAGGTTATTTTGACGGTTAATTTAAAATTTTAAAATT